CTGAGACACACACGCAGTTAACTGACAGCCTCAACAGAGATCCTAAAGCTCAGAGTCCAGGGCAGTCTACTCAGACTGCAGCTGGTGAGTCTGTCTCCAGTTAGGCTGAAGCATCCCAGTATCATCGGTTCTCCCACATTTATTGAGATCTCTTATATTCCAGGCACTGGGCTCCACACTGGACACAAAGACACCACTTATCCTACCTCCCACTGACAGAAAAGTAAAACTCTGATACACGTGATAATCCTGTTGCTACCATCTCAATGTGGGCAAGTTGGCCCAAATTATGTGTACCGAGCAGGGGTTGAAGACCCAGGGAAGCAGGGTGGGGCTGTCAAAGCAGCTTTCCAGGCTCATACTGCAGACCACTAGCCACACGCTCAGGCTTGCCCTTGCTCATTTACTAAACTCCGGTGAACCCATTCCCCATAGACAAGCAGCACCCGCATCCCAGGCAAGTGCCAGCTGATGTGTCACCTTGAGAGCTCCTGCCTTTACTCTACCCACACACAACTGCAAAGATGACACAAGCAAGGCTGTTGTCCCAGATTTATTGAAAATAATATAGCACTGCAGAAAAAATTCAAACAGGTCCCCGAGGCGTTTTGAAATTCATCCCAACTGTAGGCTGAGTGACCTGCAGGTTGGACAGACTGCCGAAGTCCTGGAACGAGAAAATGGATTCAGTGAGCAGTTACTGGTGAGATCTGTGGGTGGGCCCCAGAAGAAAACAGAGGGCCTTCTCCCTGCCCCTAGAGCCACAGCATTCTCAAGGAGGTCCAGAGGCTACCTGAAAGACCCTTTACTCTAAGAGCCAACAGGGACCTCAATGCCTCCCATTTTTCCAGTGTGATCTTCCTTCAACACACACCTGACCGTGTGGTATCCCCATTTACAACTCTACAACTTTTACCCAATGTACCATACCATTTTCTGTTTTCACAACCCCTTCCTATCACTCAAAAACACCATTTCTCAATCTTGGCAATGTAGACATCCTGGGCTGGACATTCTTTGTTACAGGGAGCTGTCCTGTGCATTGCAGAAAGTTTAGCAACATCCTTGGCCTCTATCCATTAGAAGTTAGCAGGTATCCCCTTGCTATGAGAACCAAAACAATGTGTCTGGACATTGCCAAATGTGCTCTAAGACAAAACTCTGTCCCTTTGAGAATACACAGTGCCACTTGCTTTGCAGGACCAGCCCCAGGTAAGAGCTATTACTAATGTAATCAACATTTGTGAAGGGCCCAAGTACACAAGGCACCAAGCAGAAGGGAGGGAGGCAAGAGCAGACTCTGCCCTCGCACAAGCTCAGGCTGGTGGGCAGGGCAAGAAGCCAAAGGGCCCACCTTATACCTGGAACTTCATGTCCTATTTGGTCCTCAGAAACCCATTTTAGTTTCAACAAAAAAGCTGCATTCAGCGCAGTGGTTATTTCAGGAGGAAAAGACCCACAGCGGGCTGTGCCTGTACTGGTGATGTTTTTCTGAAGCTGGGAAAGCACATGTGAGTTCATTTTGCTAATTACCTTTTTGAGTGCCTTAAACATTTAATGACTATAAAAATAGGAAAAATGAAGTTGTTCAAAATCACCAACTGCCCAATGGATTTTTTTTTTTTTGAGGCAGAGTCTCTCTCTGTTGCCCAGGCTGGAGTGCAGTGGCCAGATCTCAGCTCACTACAAGCTCCGCCTCCTGGGTTCACGCCATTCTCCTGCCTCAGCCTCCCGAAGCTGGGACTACAGGCGCCTGCCACCTCACCCGGCTAGTTTTTTGTATTTTTTAGTAGAGACGGGGTTTCACCGTGTTAGCCAGGATGGTCTCGATCTCCTAACCTCGTGATCCGCCCGTCTCGGCCTCCCATAGTGCTGGGATTACAGGCTTGAGCCACCACGCCCGGCCTGCCCAATGGATTTTTGAAGCCCATGCTTTCACCTAAGTATGCAAAAGGACTAAGATTAAGTCACAGAAGAAACATCAAAGTGCAATGAAGATACCCTGAATTACCTAAGTAGTGCCTTGTATGCACCTGGAAATGGACCAAAGCTCATTTCTGAGTGGTTAGCATGGAGACACCAAAGGAATACCATCACAGAAGAAAAGCAGGCAGAATGAAGAGAGCCAGGGCTGACACAAAGGCGGCAACCCAGGCCAGCCATAAGACCAAGAACAGAAGCAGCCAAGAGAGAAAAGGTATCCTGGAAGCCACTAGATTTGGGAATCATGATCCTGAAGCGAGCAAACTCAATGCACACAACTTTCGCTACACCCATTATGAAAGCAGTCTAATTTAGTGGCTAGAAGTTTAGATGGGATTCCCAACTCTGCCACTTACTAGCTGGGTGACCTTGGATATTAAGACCTACTGATGGTTTTTGACCAGGAAAATACCACTTTAGGAATCCACCAAACACTTACCAAAAGCTTCAGCATTTCCTTAGTGTCAGGATCTACTTCAATTATCTCCTGATCCAGGGCTGAGACCTAGAAGCAAAGGAGATAGGCTCAACATACCAATCAATGAGATTATCACTCACCTCTCCTCCTTTCCCCAGGTTCTTAAATATGGAGAAGAGGAGTTGCACAAGGATAGCATTCCTCTCACAAGGCAAGCAGTCTCTACAGTATTACAGACCCCGATGACCTGTTCTTCTGGTCTTACCTTCCCATGCCCTCAATACGTCTATTCAGTATTCAGAACACTTGAAGTCTTTGTTTACACCAAGAAATACTATATTAGGGGCAAATGAAAAACCCACGTGCCACGATAGCAGTCATCAAATCAACATTATTAAGGGCTCTCATGAAATATGGACTAAACTTAACTAGTTCCAAAAGAGCAGAATGGAGGCTAAGAAACTGATAGGGGGCTATGGGCACCTACAGCTGGTTAGGAAATGTATGGATAAAAGGTCTCAGATTCAGCTGAGGTCCCTTTGGAAGCCGGAACCCACAGCTTTATCATTCGAGGATTAGCCAGAAGCCCAATTATCCAGAAAGTTTACCTCGGGAACATAATTGTCTCTCCTTTCTCTCTCCTCCTCCTGCAGCTTGATGGAGATACCTCTTACAGGGCCTCTCTGAATTCGCTTCATCAGATGAGTGACATAGCTACAAAGCACGCATAGCCAAAGAGAACAGTGAGAAAACAAATCAACTCCCACCTGGCACTCAGCACATGTGGATATATAAATACCCGCTTTAGTTCTTTTCCACAGTGAGAAGGGAGAGGACTATACTGGGACCTCCTACACATAGAACCTCCACTGATCTGAGCATTCCTTCCCTTTGGTTTCTCACTCACTATTCAAACTCTCCTTCATAGTGATCAACTCCCCCTCCCCCGCCCCGCCCCGCAGTTTCACGACCCTTCACAGCCTTCATTTTCTTTCTTCCAATTTCAAATTCACATAATTTGGCAATTAATACGTTGACTTTGGCACTATTCTTCCAGACCATATTCCTATAAATCTCTCGAACAGTAACTGCAACTGTGAAGAACGCATTAGAAGTTGACACCTAGCCGGGCACGGTGGCTCACGCCTGTAATCCCAACAATTTGGGAGGCCGGATCGCTTGAGGTCAGGAGTTCGAGACCAGCCTGGACAACATGGTGAAACCCGTCTCTACTAAAAACACAAAAATTAGACGGGCGTGGTGGCACGTGCCTGTGATCCCAGCTACTCGGAAGGCTGACGCAGGAGAATCGCTTGAACCCGGGAGGCAGAGGTTGCAGTGGGCCGAGATCGCGCCACTGCTCTAGCCTGGGCGCCAGGGCAAGATTCCCTCTCAAAAAAAAAAGAAAAAAAAAAAAAAAGGAGCAGAAAAGAAAGCTGACACCTAAAAGCAACGTAGCTACAAGGCAAGAGGTCTGACGGTGGCTACCTCCAACCCAGTGTCACCGCGGCCAGTCATGACACAAGCCTAAGTTCACAACGGAAATCCTGCACACGCAGAGCTCTAGACCTCCTCCGGGACACCAGGGAGCTCAGGCTAACGAAACCACCACAGTACCGTCTCTTACAGAGTCGGAGGGCGGCAGAGCACATAAACAGGCCGCGGGCCCCGGAGACCGAGGAAGCCCCGACTCACCCTGCTATCTTGTTGCGGAGCTTCTTGCTGGGGATAATGGCGATCTCCTCGCACACGCGCTTGTTCGTGTGGAAGTCGTTGCCCAGGCGCGTGTAGTACTTCTCTATGATGACCCGGGCCGCCTTCTTCACGGTTTTGGTGCGAACGCGGCCCTGCGGGTGGAGAGCACAGGATCACTCACGAGCCAGTGCAACCTTTTGGGAAGAGTGCCGCACCGAGCCCCGGCGGGTGTGGTTGGGGACCGCCGGCTGCGATGAGCCGGAGAGGGGGCCCGGCTGGGCACTGCCGGACGCCGGGCTCAATGCGGAAGCTGCCTTCCCGCTGCGCTCCAGCCTGACAGGGCTCCGCGCCCGCCCGGCCCAGGTCCTCTTTTTGTGGGCTGAAGACCGCGGTAAGCTGCAGATGGAAGACGATTATGGAGGATGCCGGCCTCGACCCAAAACACCTACCATGTTGGCGGATCCTTGGTAAAGAGGAAACAGGAAGCACAGGCGAGGCCTATTAAAGCTTAGGCCAGAAAGCCGCTTCCGCCGGTACCCGGCTTGCTGAGCCTACTAGGGAGCCACACAGCGCCCCCTGGCGGAGTGGGGCGGGAACGGCGGCGGCGCGCCCCTCCGGTGGGCGGGGTGTGTCCCGCCCCCGACGGCCCCTCCCTTTCCGCTCCCCGCTCCCTCTTGGTTGACTTGGGCTAGCCTCTCTCCCGCATCTGATTTTTAATGGGACCGCCCGTGTGCTGTGCTCTAGCGTAGGAGCGGTCCATCTCTTCCACACACGTCAGGGAGAGGAGAGGCATCCGGTCCTCGGGAGGACCGAGAAAGGAAGGCGATCCAGGGCCGCGGAACAATGAAGTGCGGGATGACGGCCGCCCAGGGTGGCCGCCCAGGGTCCCCACCCACTCCGCTGGCCAGAGACTTGGCAGGTAGAGACAGGGTGCGACTGGGAGAGACATATCTCATTTCTTCCGGGCCTTTGCTCAAATGTTTCCTTATCAGAGGGCTTTCCCTTCAGACTTAGGTAAAATAACTCCCTCACTATCCCTGCTTATGTTTCCTAGCACTTGCCGTGTGACTCGGCTTATTTTTCTCAACTAGGGGTGAGCTCCATGACAGTAATGGTCATTTTGTTTAGCTAATTCCCACTGCTTGAACAGCGCCTAGCACACAGCAACCTCTCCAATATTGACATGAAGGGCCCAAATCACCTGCAGAACTCCCAGCACCTCAGGCACCCTCTCCAACCACCATCTTCAGGCTGTTCCTGCCATACCCATCCCCAAACCAGGGCCTTCCGAAGCCACCAGCTCAGGCTGCCCCGATGGGCCGCAGCCTAGGTAGGGCCCTGCCCCTTCTTCCAACTCTGCTCCCTGGGCTGACAGCAGTCCTAGGCCCCTACCTGATAGGGGAAGGCTGAGCTGGCCAGGCTGGATGAGTTAAGCAGCCCAGGGCTGTGCCTCATTCCTCAACGCACCTTAGGTACTCCAGTCGGACTCTCGACTGGGGATGGAAAGCTGAAGGACAGGAAACCCTGGCACCAAAAGTAGCACTGGGACAAAATAAAAGGCCAGAATCTCAGAATTGCGGGAGCAAACTTCCAATCAAGCTGCTGTCAGGCCCGAAGTGAAAGATCAGGGTTTTTTTTTTTTTTTTTTTTTTTTTTTGAGACGTAGTCTTCCTGTCGCCCACGCTGGAGTGCAGTGGCGCGGTATCAGCTCACTGCAACCTCTGCCTCCCAAGTTCAAGCGATTCTCCTGCCTCAGCCTCCCAAGTAGCTGGGATTACAGGCGTACGCCACCACGCCCGGCTAATTTTTGTATACTTTTTTAGTAGAGCCGGGGTTTCGCCATTTTGGCTAGGCTGGTCTCCAACTTCTGACCTCAGGTGATCCGCCCGCCCTCGTCCTCCCAAAGTGCTGGGATTACAGGTGTGAGCCATTGCACCCGGCCAGCCTTTTTTTTTTTTTTTTTTTTTTGAGATAGTCTTGCTCAGTTGCCCAGGTTTCAGTGAAGTGACACGGTTAACAGCTCACTGCAGCCTCAATTTCCTGGGCTCACATGATCCTCCTGCCTCAGCCTCCCCAGTAGCTGGAACTACAAGCACACACCGCCATGCCTGGCTAAGTTTTTTTTTGTAGAGATGGGGTCTCCCTATGTTGCTCAGGCTGGTCTCAAACCCCTAGGGCTCAAGCAATCCTCTTGCCTCAGCCTCCCACAGTGCTGAGATTATAAGCGTGAGCCACTGTGCCCAGTCTGGCCTCCCCTTTTATTTTTTGAGACGGAGTCTCACTCCATTGCCCAGGCTGGAGTGCAGTGGCATGGTCTGGGCTCACTGCAACCTCTGCCTCCCGGGTTCAAGTGATTCTCCTGCCTCAGCCTCCCAAGTAGCTGCGATTACAAGCACCTGCCACCACACCCGGCTAATTTTTTGTATTTTCAATAGAGACGGGGTTTCACCATGTTGGCCAGGCTGGTCTCAAAATCCTGATCTGCCCATCTTGGCCTCCCAAAGTGCTGGGATTACAGGCCTGAGCCACCGTGCCCGGCCAGGCCTCTCATTTTGTGAGGAGACTCCCCCACCTTGCCCAATAGTTCTTGCACCACTCTCACAAGAGCCAGCTTCAGTATGCAGGGTTCCCTCTACCTCAGACTAGGTTGGAGGTTCCCAAAGAATCAGTCCAACAGCTGGGCCCAGGCCAACTCGACTGGGGGAAAAAAAAAAAAAAATCAGCAGACCTTGCCACAGATCCTGTGAGCTCTAAAAAAGTTCAATTGACAGGGCTCTCTGAACAGCAAACGCCAAATCATTCCCTCTCAGAAAGGAATTCGGTCATCATAGGTGGGTCCAAGAGGATGAGCAGCCTCTGAAGAAGTAATAAGCCAAAAATTGCAGGAGAAGCTGAGAACAAGTGGCTTCTGCTGGCCCATGAGCAGCTGTGCCTCCAGCATTCTCCAGGCTGGGCCTGGAGGCTGTGAAGACCCCTGAGAAGCTAAGATGTGAGGACTTTTTATATTTGGGCTAGAAGCACCCACCCACTGGAGAGGCATCTCCAAAATGTATTTGATGGTAGAAAGGACCAAGAAGTACTCACAGGGCAGGTCTCCCACATGGTCCCACTATTATCCTGGGCCGGGATCCCATCACAGAAACCCAAGGAAACAAGCTACGGCTGCGCCATTACTCCCTTACTCCCCATTAGCCCCCTGCTCCCAGACCTGAAACACAGAGACAAAACCAGAACTCTGCTGCAACGTGTTTATTATGTGCCAAAAAAACTACACCACAGCTTACTCCACACATCTGTAGGAGAGTGCAGTCTTGCCTGCATATACTACAATGAGGTAGAGACTTCACACACAGCTTCACAAAACCCACAGAGTAGCTGGGATATGCAACAATGCAACATCAGCTCAGCAGGAGGGAGGGGTTATGACACTGGTTCTTTGGCACACAGCTTCCCTAGGAGGGGCAAGTAGTTTTTGTGTTTTCTTTTTCAAAAAAAAAGGAAAGAAAAAAGTCAAGTTTTCAAATTCCAGTAGCATTTCAGTCAACTGCAACTGTTATCTCATACATTCCTCAAATTAAAGATATAAGGGAAGGGTACTTGTCCCCTCTAAGAGAAAGGGCTCCTGTGAGCCTTCATCTGCCCCCACTGAAAAGCAGCCCTTTTTAGCTCAGTTACAAAAGAAAAAAGTCCTGTGACTTTGTGATTAAAAACTTCTATCAACCCCACCCCCCCACATAAGTGCAACTTAAGGAGGTGCAATAAACCATTTAAAACTATATACAGCAGCCGCTCAAACACCGTTTATCCGGTCCAGTTTCAAATAAAACAAAAACATTTTTTTTTCTTGGTTGCAAATGCCTTGATTTGCAACTGTGAGAAACAGTGACCAGCAGTCCCCCAGACACAAATTGGCTATAATGTTAAAAGCTGCCAGGAAAGAAAAAATATCTTGTTCCAAACGACTTAAAAACTGTTTTAAGGAGTGTAAAAAGGAACCGGTAAAAACCCTCGAGCGTAAAATATGAAATATGATTTTGGTTTAAATGAAGAGCAAAGTCTCCTTATTGTTTACAGTAAAAAACACCAGCTGAACACTCAGTTTATGCCGTTCAGGTGGGGGTTAAATAAATGGAAAGGCACTGTATGGCAACTGCAAGAATGAAACCAATGAGACCTGCGCATCATCACCATCAGTATTGCAAGGAATGTAAAAAAGCGCTTTTAATAAATAAACCTAGGTGTAGGCATCTGTGTAAATACCTCAATACCTTCTGGACACGTAGTTCTTTTTTTTTTTTTTTTTTTTTTTCCGCTTTTCATCTGCAAAATGAGGAACTAAAATCTGGGAAAACTACAGAGTCGCTTGGAGGGTAAGCCAGAGAGTCCTTGCCCCTGGCATACCCCCTGAAAACAAAACCCGACAAAACTCAATGTGCATTAATTAGTGCAGAAACAAAGACAGATTCAGCAAGTGCAAAGGTGACTACAATTTTCCCTTGTCCTCGGGAAGCCAGCTCCCTGGTCGCCAATGGCAGGGTGGTGCAGGCTGCTTGCCTGACCTGCCAGCTTCAGGCGCCACAGGCCACTGGGCAAGGCCAGCTCCTCTAGCTGGAATCTCGGTTCTTCTGGTTCCGCATCAGGGGGCTGTGGTGGCGCAGGCCCTCCATGCTGTGCCGCCAGTGCCAGCAGCTCCGGCAGAAGTATTTGAAGCAGACCTGGGTTGAGGGAACAAAAAGGAGGATGCCATAATGCCTGTGTCACCACCAGACAAAGGAGCTGTTGCATGAGCTGCTTGTTCTGTTTGGAGAAGGGGTGGGAGACTCCCGATGGCCTCTATGGATTAGAAGAGATGGTCCCTAGAAGCGCTCTCACCCCAACACAGAAGCCTGATTAACTATGGCAAACCCGCCATCCTTGTTACAGGTCCCCTTACTTAAACACGTCGGGCTCCTAGTGTGTACAGAGACCATGCTAGTTTCTCTTATCTCCTCTAACCATGACAGCTGCTGTCCTCTTCCCCTGCCCTTCTCACCTCCTACAAAGTAGTTGTATCACATGGTTGCTAACATGGAGAATGTATAAAGACACTGACAACAAATTCTAATGCTAGGCAACATCCTGCTTTCTTCCCATTAAGTGAGGAGAGGTGACTGGGTTTGTTTCTCAGTCTAGTCCCATCTCTGGGTTGCTGTGTAACCTCAGGCAAGCCACTAATCTCTGAGCAATTATCTGACTATGGAGATTATCTGTGAAAGATCCAGATCCATAAAAGCCTGGTAGATGAGCCTGATCAGAGAGATGCTCGTTCTCAGGCTTTAGCTAACAATCCAAACTTAACTTCAAACTCTCACTTGAGAGCCTCGGTTTAACCATATACAGGAGGCTCCAAATCTGAGCAATGGCATTACTGCAAAAAAATTTTAAATAAAATTTAAAAAGCACCCACTAAGCATGGATGGACTGCTGCTGGTGTCCTAAGAGGTTCCAAACTTCCCCTAACACCTGTCAAAGGATGATGCTGACTAGCAGCACTGACACCACTTGGATACTTGTTGGAAACATGGAATCTCAGGGTCCCAAACCCACCGAATCAGAATCTAAGATCCTCAGGTGATGTGTCTGTAATTAAGGTTTGAGAAGCACTGCCAAACACATCCAGATCCACATTCCATCACCCAGGAACATTCAATAGAAAGCCACCTCGCTGCTTTCTGCCTGTCACTGACACCTGTGGGTACAGCCCAGGTGCAAATATCAAAGTCGTCCAGAAGTTCAGATGCAAAGGAGGAGGAAGCCCTTGAGTAGAGAAAAAATCAGCTTAGAAGGCCTCAGGGTTAGAGCAGCTGAGCCTGGCTTCTACGTACTGCTGATCATACCCAGTCAGGCTTCTATCATCTATAAAACCACCTCTCAGCAATAGTGGCATACTGCATAGCAACATCCCAGGCAAGAAAAAGGCCAAAGTATAAAGACTCAATTCAACATATTTTCCTAAGAGTTCTGGATAAAGCTATCTAAAGTGTGTCCCTGGTTTGACCTTCAGCAAACATTACTGCTGCCTCCTCTATGCTCTCAGAACACAAGGTACCTCGGAACTCCAACATTCAATGTCATGAAGTTGCCGTAAAAAAAAATTTTTTTTTTTTTTTTTTGACACGGAGTCTCGCTCTGCCCTAGACTGAAGTGCAGTGGCGTGATCTCGGCTCACTGCAACCTCCGCCTCCTGGGTTCAAGCTATTCGCCTGCCTCAGCCTTCTGAGTAGCTGGGATTACAGGCACACACCACCATGCCAGGCTAATTTTTGTATTTTTAGTACAGACGGGGTTTCACCATGTTGGCCAGGCTGGTCTCAAACTCCTGACCTCAGGATCTGCCCGCCTCAGCCTCCCAAAGTGCTGGGATTACAGGTGTGAACCACCACACCCAGCAAACAATTTTTAATTGAGGGCAGGGACTTCACAGACATCGGACCCACCTGATCTCGACAGAAGAAAGGACCAGGCTGAGAACTGCAGATATGACACAGAGAATCTTCTAGGTAGGGGTCAATCTGAACCTGCACAAAAGCAAAATAAGATGACGAAGTGGCTCTTCTTACCAGGAGGCTCAATGGGCTATAGAAGAAGTACATATTATTGGCCACACACAGGAATGCAGGATATCGGAATGCAGGTTATTTGCCTGTTTTAAAGGAGGCTTGCAGAGAATTATGGGCCTGAAGCACAGAAAGGGGTTCTAGAGAGCAGACTCCTACACCAAGAAGAGTCAGGCTGGATGCCTCTGGAATTCAGGCGACCACACACCTTAATATGCCTGGTCCTCTCGGCAAACTGTACCTCAGCCCTCTATCAATTAGCAATATGAGCAAGTGTTCAGAGGATTCTCGAAAGGTTGGAAAATGGGAAGTCAGGCTACTTAGCAATGCCAGAGAAATACCACAGTGAGGGAAGGCACCCTACACACTAAAGAGGCTCAACAGTCCCAGTTCCCTTCCTCCTGGGTGTACAAAGACCAAGCCCACTCCCAAACCCTAACCTCAATGTTAATTCTCTGGAGTTTGGCTCACTTCCCTAAACACACCCAGCACAAACACAGCTTCAGGTCTCAGGCCTGCCCCGGGTAGTAACTGCCTAAACCCCTCTCATATACTCCAGAGTAAGGGCATAAACCAGCCAACTCACCTTCTTTGTGAACTTGGTGGTTTTGATCTCCACAAAAGCAGCGCTGACTGCTTTCAGGTAACTCCGTTGGTTATTGAAAGTCACACGACCAGATCCTAGGACAAGAGACACAAGCTTCCCTTCTAACCAAATTCTCCCAAATGCTACTCTTTTAAAATGCAGGAAACCCTTTATGATACCAGTGGTGTCCAACAGAAATCTAATGTGAGCTACGATGTTACTTTATTTATTTTTTGAGACAGGGTCTCCCTCTGTCACCCAGGCTGGAGTATAATGGCGTGATCTCAGCTCACTGCAACCTCTGCATCCCGGGATCAAACAATCCTCCTGCCTCAGCCTCCCAAGTAGCTGGGACTACAGGCATGAGCCAACACGCCTGGCTAATTTTTGTACTTTTTGTAGAGCCAGGGTTTCACCATATTGTCCAGGCTGGTCTCGAACTCCTGGACTCAAACGATCCACCCACCTCAGCCTCCCGAAGTGCTGGGATTATAGCCATAAGCTGTCACGGCCAGCCCTTATGTAATTTTAAATTTTCTAGTCATCACATTGACATTTTAAAGTGGTGACATTAATTTTAATAATATATTTTATTGGCCGGGCACGATGGCTCACGCCTGTAATCCCAGCACTTTGGGAGGCCAAGGTGGGCAGAGCATGAGGTCAAGAGATGGAGAACATCCTGGCCAACATGGTGAAACCCTGTCTCCACTAAAAATACAAAAATTAGCTGAGCGTGGTGGCAGACGCCTGTAGTCCCAGCTACTCAGGAGGCTGAGGCAGGAGAACTGAGAACCCAGGAGGCAGAGGCTGCAGTGAGCCGAGATCACACCACAGTACTCCAGCACGGCAACAGAGTGAGACTCCATCTCAAAAAAAAAAAAAAAATTTATTTAACCCTGTATGTTAAAAATATTATTTCCAAATGTGACAACAGCCATGTTTCCAAAACTCAATGGGGCCACATTTAGCTGGTGGCTACCATATTTGTACCATATTTGACAGTGGAGATCATGTTAGCGCAAACCATTCAGGAATGGGGGAAGAATTTGCTGATCAAGATGGCAGGGCAGGGCAGGGCAGGGCAGGGACAGGACGGGACTCCTTCAGTGCAGGTAGAAGCATAGGTAAGGTTAAAGGTTTCAGAGTGGAAGCCAAGATGCAGATAGAACACTTGTCTGAAGGGTAAGCCCAGCAGTTGAACTGAACCTCTCCTAGCCTGGAGGCACTCTGGAGACCTATTAGGAGAGCTGGAAGAAGCCCCATCCTGCCAAGTGCCTCCTCCGCTCCTGCAGCTTCTGAAGTCCCTGTTCTCAATCTGCTGCACAGCATTGGTAAGTACACGGTGCTCCTTCCTGACCAGATTCAGTGTGGGTGTGAAGACTAAGCATTTGGGAAGGTGGGTTAGCCACATCTTAATCACAGAGTTCAGGCTCTGCTCTACCTCCATACCCCATCATTGACATTTTGCCAGGACTAGTGAATTGACCTCCTTTCTCAGAGGAGCTGATCAAAACCTAGTGGTTAAGTCCACAGACTTCTGAGTTAGGGAAGCACAGGCCACACTCTGTTGCCTGACTCACTCAGAAAGTCCTCCTCCAGCCTGACCTGGTCTCTGACCTTAGATAATGCCAGAGCTTTTCAAGAACTTTTAATAAAAGAAACCGGGCAAGTACAGAGAATTGCAGCCTTTTCATGAACACCTGTTGTCTGTTCCAAACTGGTTTGGCTGTAAACTCTAAGCTTCCAACAAAGTTCCTACACCTCACTCTCACTTCTTATCACCTCTTGTAGTCTCCAACTGCTTTTTCTCCCACTGCATGGTCTGAGATGGTGGGTAGAGGGGTAGATACAGAAGGGCCAGTACTCGTGACTTGTCTAGAAAAAGATATTAAGGTGCTGGTATATGCTGATCTGCAGACCTGGGTCAGGCCTCTCTCCTCACTCCCATGGGGAAGTATCACAATCTTGGTCTACTCCCAGGGGCCAACCAAGCTTTAGCACACAGAAGTGGGACACTTACCAATGGGATACTTGTGCTTATCTGTGTCAATCCCAGCATACACCACTCCACCAAATAGGTCGTTCAAGATGGCTGCCAGGGCCTCAGCATTTAGCATTCCATGCAGAGCACCAACAAACACCGTCCTGCTGGGGTCAAGCCTCTGAGATGGGCTCCGGACAAAGTTACTGTCGGCTAATACCCAGGGGATCACCTGCACCTGAAAACCACCCAAAGGTGTATCAGCCCTGGCAGAGAGCCACAGAGAGAGAGGCGCTTGCATGGCAAGGCACATGCTCTGGAGATACTGAAGCTGGGCTGCTAAGGCCCTTACAGGGGTGAAAAGGTGTTGTTGCCCAGTCTCAGGCACACAGGCATCCAATAAACCACCCTTACTCCACCCCAACTGGAGTTGAATTTTACTGAGTCCATGTGTCCAGAATGGTACAAGTGGACAGAGTACTCACTCATGCTGGAGAGTAAGCAAAAAAGTACCACATGACCAAACCCAGGAGCCCAGCATTCTATTTCAACTTCCAACTGTGAGGTTCCAACAAAGGGCCGTGGACACTGATGAAAAGAGCATAATCTGAGGTCCTCAAGAAAGGAAGGACTCGCAGAGAAATTAAAGGCTAGGATCCTAAAGGACAGAGGGATGGGAGTGCTTATGATATTTATATGAGATGGTTACTGGCCCAACCTAGGCTTCAGAGAGTTTGTGCCCAGAGCAGTGGAAATGACTGAAGAGAGGCTGGGTAGAAAGTCACATACAAGATCCCTGGAGTCTTGAAGGGCTGGGTCTGACCGTGTCCTTTGCCTCTGAATCTCCTGAACTGGAACAAAACCTGGTAGAGCAAGTGTAGGACTCCAGAACAAAGTGAAGATCTAAAAATATATCTTGAAGCAGGAAGAGATCTGAGGCAGAAACCAGCAAGGAGGCAAAAACAGTACTTTCAAAGGACAGGTGATTAAGACTTGGATAAGGCTGGTGGCAACGAGCAGAGAACAGGCCAAGAACAAAGAGATTCTTCAACAGAGAGTCTGCAGTACTCAGACGGCATAAGCAGGATGGGCAAGCAAGGAAGAATCAGGCCTGGTAGGTGCTGGGCCTACACAGTCTTGGGATGAGAGGACCTGGCAGAAGTTACGAGAGGGGAGCCAATTTCACTGGAAGATGAAAAAGCCCATTTTGCCCACAAAAGAGTTTGGGATTACCAGACATCCTGAAGGAGGGTACCACAGGAAGGTGGGGCTCAGGTAGGACACGAGGCTAGAAAGGTGAATCTGGGTCTAAAAATGAGAGGAGCCACAAAAGTGAGTCATTTATCTGAACTAGAAAAGAAGATAGGAGGGAGTCAAAGATTGGCTATACTGGTGCTGGCGGGGAGGGGAACGCAAAGGAAAAAGTCAGAGAGGAAGGAGAACCGCATCAGCCTATAGCCAGTGAATCAAAGAAAGATTAAATCCCTGTAGGCGATGAGGAGGGAATGGGAGACAGGATGGTGTCAACAGGGGCACTGAGGAAGGGGAGGGGCTCTGTGATATGCATATGGCCATCTCTGGTTGTGAAAGCAGGAGGGGAGCAAGGAGCATGTTAAGTAAGTCCTAGAACATTTACTAAGGTGAGATGACTACACAAGCTCCACACAGTAAGGAAGCAGAGAAGGTACAGAAGCTGTGGGTCACTGTGGGTAGCCAGAGGACGAGCCTGCCCTCTCAATAACGCAGAATAAGAGCCAGCTTTGTTACATGGATTTATTTTAAATCTAATGTGACCATCTCAATAAAATAGGCATTTCCCCTCTTACCTTATAGATTGTTTTTAGAGAAGCTTTAAGGTTCACAGTAAATCTGAGCAGAAAGTACGGGGATTTCCCAAATACTCTCTGCCCCCACACTTGTGTGACTTCTCCACTATCAGGATCCCGCATGCGAGTGGAACATTTGTTTATACTGACACATCATCACCACCCAAAGTCCATGGTTTACATCAGGGTTCACTCTTGGTGTTTGTTTTACATTCTATGGGTTTGAACCAAAGTATAATGACATGTATCCACCATATACAGAATAGTTTCACTGATTCATCCCTTCATGCTAAACCCCTGGCAATCACTGATCTTTTTACTAAAATAGGCATTTTCGTTTCCCATTTTATAGAAGAGAAGAGGAAACAAAGTTTCAGAGATATTAAATGTCTAGTCCTATGTCACAAAAGTTGTGTGCTCTTGAATCTGATTTTAACACCACACTGATTCCGGAGCTCAAAACTTGCTTTGACAAGTGATTCTCACACACTATCCACTAGATCCACTTGGGGATCTTTGTTCAGTTGGAGATTCCTAAATCCCACCCAGAGTGATTCAGTAAGTCTGGGATAAGGCCCAAGAATGTGCAATGAGATCCCCAGGTGAGATAAACTCGTTAGAGACCCATGCTGCCAAGGATACATAAGGCTGATATTAGAAAAGACGTAGGAAGAGAGAATCTTATGGGGAAAACCCACAACACTAAATAAAGCCCCAAATGAGAATGAAGAAGTGACCCACAGGTGGATGTGGGCTAAAGAGGAATTCACCCCCACAGACTGGGAGGTAAGAAGGCACAGGAAGGGCAGGACCAGGGAAAAACAGCTGTAGGTTTATCAGTTAAGTACAAGTAGAGAAGTCTGCTGTTCTCAATTTCAATTCTAAGACAAGAGGTTTAAAACTAAAGTGTTGGCTTCAAGAAAGAAGAGTAGAGTAAAGGCTGGGAGACAGTTTGATTACCATGGGCAGGCACGCGCATGTGTGCATGCACATACCCCATTAAGGCCCAAAGGTTGTTTTCTTTTCTTTTTTATGTAATTGAGAGGATACTGCTATTTTATTGTGGGAGAAGAAGAGCCTTCTTGCCTCAGCAGGAATACTCCTTGCCTGCAGCCTGCCTATCCACCTACCCCAAGAAAATCCAGTGCCTCAATATGCCAAGAACCTTGATCTAGAAAGGACATCATGCTAACTCACCTCCTTGCAGCGCATCCTTCGGCTGGACATCTTGAAATAATATTCACTCAGGCCATCTGGGCTCAGCGGGTCATGAGAGCAAGCCTGAAGCAAGGCTCGGACAGACTTCTCCAGTTCGAAGACCAGATACACATACCCTATTCCCAATGAGAGGAAAAATCGCATTAATATCCCTTAGATGGCCACTCCTCAGCCTTGGCTTTGCAGCAGGGAGTTTCTTCCAAGAAAGAAGGCCTTGTGTATAAGATACATTTTTGTTTTACTCCTGAAAAGTCTTGTTCAGTGGAAGCATTTGCTATGCAGATGCCCAGGGTTGTTGGCCTCCCTCCCACCCTGGTGAAGGAAAGGACTGGCAAGCTGAGACAGAGAGATCCCACCATTACCACAGCTCTCTATGCCAGAACACACAGCATGTTCAGGTCAGCAGAGCCAGGCTTTCCTGGGGGCAGGAGGGATGGCAGTTATTGCTTTAAACGCCTACTTAAACCATTAGTTCAGTTCAATGAAGATGGAGCAGGGTGAAAATAGCAGCTGCTCCTTTCTACAGGGAGGGGATCTCATTTCAGACCAGTGAGGAATCAGATGCTTGGTCCTCATTCCTGCCAGCTCCAAAGGGACTTCAGAATTAGGTCAGGCAACAACGTAACTGGGCAGGACAGGCAGGCAAGGGAAAGCTTTTCAAACGCCTTATTTTGAGAGGAAAGGTGCTGCCTGGGTTCAGGTTTAGACAGAAGTGTACAAGGAAGGGGTTTCAGAGGCAGCTCCCACTGCTGTGTAAGTCTGGACAGATGAAACATTAGCTCCGAAGAAACAGAGGGACGTGTTAGGTTGAAGAGAAAGTGCTGACAGATGACAGGTCTGTGCCCTGGAGTGCCCACCATGTTACCAACATGCAGCTGTGACATCCCAGCACCCATAGGTGCAGTTATGTTCTAGGGAAGGGAAAAAAAAGCTCCTACCATGTCTTTATTACCTTTAGGCATATTACCTTTGGGAGGACACCGGGGGTGCTTGCCATCCTTACCAGGCCACTCCACACTCAAAGAGCCAAAAACACGGAAGGTGTTAACTAATCCAGCTGCAAAGAGACAGAAAACAATGGGAGAAGCTGGTTGTAAAGACGCAAACACAGAATCACCAGCATTCTCCTCCCTGGCTCATCCCCACTGACAAACAACTCAGAAATGGATGCTGATCTCCGGTGTAAGCTTCCGACATAGGAGCACTATGGGGGTATATGAAATGCACCTCTCCCCTCAGACACTCATGTAATACCCCTGAACTCAGGCAGGGAATTCAGCCCCTGGCCTCAATTCCAAGTTTCATG